ATATATATATATATGTATATATATACATATATATATATATATATACATGTATAAACATATAATGGTATTATACCTGCTTGTGTATACATGTGTATAGAGATGTTAGGATTTCAGCGAAAACTGTATGAAATTACTGTATTATTAAATTGAGTATTATGTGTAGTAGTGAATAATAGGCTTACCTTCTGCGGGCTGCCCTTGTGGACTAGGTGCACCAACGCTACCTGTAAATAATATGAAATTTTGCTTCTTTTAATTAGCCATATAGTAACTGTTGTTGAATTGATATTGATGTTGTTTAAATTGATTGGAATCAAAACAACAAATATGCTAAATAAAAAATCCTACCTCCAGCTGGCTGCTGTTGAGAACTGGATGCACCGCCTCTACCTGTAAATGATATGATACTTTTTGTCTAATTAGCCATATAATTAGCCATACATTTGTGTTAGTATTAGTATTGTTTATATTGATGTAAATTGATGTATGTTGCTGTTGTATGTTTGTTTATTCTTAATATTATGTATATTGATGTTTGTTTAAATTGATTTTTAATATATGAGATACCAGGAAAAGGTGAAATCCAGGTAAAGGAAAATTAAGAGAGAGTGAATTGAAAAGATTGATATTATGTTTAAAATGTTGAATATTATAAGAAGTTGGAAAGTCATGTGATGGAAGTTTATTCCTGAGGAACAGAATTTCTGGGAATGAATTATTTGGAATGAGATAAAGTACGGAGGTGGGTGTAGAAACGAAGTATTTGTGAACATGTATTGACATACAAGAGATGGGGGAAGGGACAATAGAAGAAAGCTCTAAATAAAGTGATCAAAACAGTATTTATGAAACAGAGATAAGCGTTGAATATCGACGGCGATGTTCGAGAGATTGTAAGAAGGAAAGTTAAGCATCGTTGATAAGGCGTAGCTTTGGCTTGGATTTTGTCCATAAAGAAAGAAGGAGCATCTCCTCCCCAGATATCAGAGCAGAATTCTATCGTTAGGGGCGAATCTGGCATTTATAAAGAAGGAGTATATGGGAGGGTCAGAAGTATTCTGAGAGGCTCGTTTGGCAAGGCTATGGATGTGGTGACTCCAACGAAGACTGGATGATACAGACACCAAGCTGAGAAATAGAATTGGTCAGACGAAGTTCATCTTGACCCATCAAAATCACAGGAAAAGAAGTGTCTTCTTTACGAGAAATAAAAACCATGTCGGTTTTCATGATTTTGAACTACACTAGGTTGTCCTCACCCCAAACAAATGCTAAATTCGGGGAAAGAATACTGTATTAGCTGATGTAGATCGAACATGACTGACGGAAGCTGGAGCCCGAAAACTGACAGATAAACTTAAGAGGTTTCGCCACGAAAGAGTGAATAGAGCAGGAATTTAAAAGAGAGGAGATCGTTAATAATTAAACGAAAAAAAGTACTAAATAAATCAAATCACCTGTATTGATTAAATAGCAGCAGGTCGACCTTGGAGAGAGATCAGCTTTACAGAAAAACCAATAGATGGAAGTTTAGCAATCAGTCCTTTATGCCGAACACGGTCGAAAACACTGAAAAGTGATGTGACACGACTTTCACACCAATTTTTCCAAGCACAAAGGACCAGGAGTGGGTGACAAAGGAAAGCAGATAGTCAGTAGATCTTGCATGACCAAACCCATGATGATTTCTAGACGTTTTCTTTTGTCAATAATGGAAATAAAATTACAATCTCTTTTCTGAATTTACTCAGCTTCACAACTATCTAAATATTGTCATTTCCGGCACAAAAAAGTGTGACGGAGATGATTTTGTAATGTATTTCCTATGCTACCACACTAAAAATTATATATTATTTCCAAAAGTGCGCGGCAAACGTTAATTTAGAATTGTTGCACAACATAATAATCATATCCCCATGAAGGAAATTCAAATGTGAAACCTATTTTTTGTGATGGTTTTCTAAACCACTAAATTTTCACTTTACTGAAGAATGACCAAGGAACCAAAAATGAATGCACAAGAAGTATTATTGGTTATTGTGCATTGCCTGCAAATACAAACTCATATTATAGACAGGGATTGCTTTGAACTTTCTAAGGAACATTCTGGAGAAAGCACAAGTTTTGTCCAGATAATAAATCAGAAACTCAATAGCGTCCAACAACATCTATATATCAAATAAAATTTAAAAGCGAAATTAATCATCCTTAAAAAGCTCCAACAGATTAAATGTATTATATTAAATATAAAATACATGTCTCCCTTTAATTAAAGACCCCTCCAATTAAAGATCACTACCCATATGAACAAATGTTGTTTATCTTTGCTATTCTTATTAGAGACCGTAGAATCCTCGGTCCAAACATTAGTATTTAATTGAATTGAAACCTGTATTAGAAAGTACAAACTCACCTTGAGGCAGGACTCGCTGGCTTTTGATAAGTTCAGTCAGCATTTTTTATAACAATTATTAGAATATAATTACAATTGTACATGAATGTGATTTTGAAGTTAAATAAGAACAATTCATGTATCTCAGTGTAGTATTTTTACTTTTAACGCTGA